AACCTCAATCAGATTAATAAACTGCCTTTACAGTCCCAAACAGTCCGATTCAGATCTCTCACACGGACGACTAGTCAACCAGAGACACAAGACATGGAACACTAATCAAAGACCGTCCACACCTCGTATACCTAAACAGCATCGCTTGAGTGTTGATAGCAACATACAAATACCAGAAGCACTTAATTCTGCAAGTAAACGGGACCTTTTAAGAAAGGTGTGTCCATATCTTTTTGTAGTTTTGGAATCAATTTTTCCTTTCTAATACATAATTAATTTACAATATTTCTAAACTGGACATTTTTCATTTCAGGCTAGCAAAAGTCATGCTGATGGTGAAATAACCAGTGACGAATTCCTCAATGTAGCCCATCAAATAAACCAACTTTTTCAGTATCAAGAGGAAAGACTGCGTTCTGACTCTTGGGATGAATCGTGTGATGAGGGAGTATATCAATCAAAAAAGAAACAAGAAGGAGCCATGTCTGATGCAGAGCTTTCTTATCTTGAGCATAAATCTAAGTTGAGAAGAACACAGCTTCAGCGTCCAGGTGAGATTTGTCCTGTTTGTAAATACTGTATGTGAGTTGTAGCGCATTTTAAATATTACCTAAAGTTTAAAAATTATTTATTTATTTTTACAATTTCACCATGGCATGTAATATTTAAACACGCCCTAGGTTGTTGATGATGTTGGCGTTTTATAGATAGTCTAAACTTGAATTATTGTCCATCTCAACAGTGCAAAAAGAGGGCCAGTCACCTTTGGATGTAATGTTCTATCAGCTTCAACGTGAAATGGCCGAACAATACAGTGAAAGCTCAGGAGTGCATAAAATGTCTGGTGATGCCATAAAGCCTGACCACGAAGGTCCTAGAAGAACCAACAGGCCTCCTCCATGTACAGGTTCCACATTCAGAAATTCACCAAGTCCAGTCAACTTAGACGGGACCTTTGGAAAATCCACAGGACTGCCATTTGAACGGTCATCATCTCCAGTTGAAATGGATCAACAACCAGGAGACATCAGCCCACGTTTTGAAAGTCCCAACAGTGTGCACTCTGGTACAGGTCCAGATGATGGTCCTATAAATGTAGAGGGTCTTTCAATGCAAGATAATTTCTTGGAACTGGGAAGAAGTGGACAAAACCTTGATGAATCTCCTGGGAATACACCAACGCACACCTCAGAAGGATCTATGGCACAGGTGAACCCGCCACGGCATGATGGACCAAATATTTCTCAACGATTTGATAGATATAAGAGTTCTCAAGCTCCCTTTGATGGGCCACCTAGCCACATGAGAGAGCCACGGTTAGATGGTCCTCCAAGACCTTATGTTCCTCCTCCTCGGTATGAAGGCAGTACAGGGGGATTTGATGGGTCTGGTGGCCCCGTAAGGTTTCCTGGACATCGCTTTGATGCCCCTCCCCGGTTTGAAAGATTTCCCAAAGCCCATGAAAGATCTGTGAGATTTAACAACCCACCAGTATCACACAGGCCAGTGAGGTACACAGAGCCTCACAACATGGTGAGATTTGACCCTCAAGCCCCAATTCATTATGACCACCCAATGCACCAAAACCGATTTGTTAATCCACCAAGGTTCGATAATCCTCACATGCAACATGGTCCTCCAGGATACGAGGAACCACGGTTCCCAGCTAGACTAATGAATTATGATGAACAGCAGGGTGCAGTTAGATTTGATAGTCCATCAGGTGGGATGCACTTTGAGAACCCGGTGCAGCCTGAACCCTTAATATTTGATGCACCGCCTGTCATGCCAAGATATGACCCACAAGGTCCTCCAAGATACTGCGGTCCAAATATTCCAAACCAGCTGAGACCACAGGAGCCAACAATATATGATCAAACTCAAGGTCAAGCTCCTGTGATAAACCCTGCTGTTCCACCTCCTAATTTCAACATGGCACCCATGAACACGTATGGTGGCCCAGCCCAACAGTTTACCATGCAGCAAAATGTTTCTCAAGCATCTAACTTCAGTGTGACAGGCCCTACATCATCGGATTTCCAAGGTTCATTTAGACCTGCTCCATTCCCTGGTCCAGGTGTTGGGAATGTTCCTCAGCCTGTAAATATTCCTTACTCACTTTTGAAATTTAAAGAGTTTTCTTTTTGTTAAGCATGGAAATTTAAAGTTTAGTTTTTGTCTTGTGAATTTTTAGATTATGGGAGCTCAACCCTTCATGCCACCAAACCAAATATCTTTCCAGCCTGGTAAGAATGTCTTTATTTTACGTGTTCACATATCCTGAAACAGAAATATGCACTGCTGTTTGTTTTGATTGTGACGTCTATTTTAGACCTATATTATAAGAAGTGATTTTTTAATTCAGGTTCCCAGTTTCAGCAGCCTGAGCCCGAGTCATTGAGGCAAATAGATGTGAACGATCTGTTGTCAAAACTTATATCCACTGGAATAATAAAACCTGCACAAACAGACTCAACGACTGGTATGCATACTGTATTATATTAATATGATTTATTTCTTACTAATAATATTATTAATTTCTTACTGTTGGACAATTGAATTGCATCAATTGTAGTCTTATATTTCAAATGAGCCTAATTAAAGATTTATAAATCTATTTTAGACTCTACTTCAGCAAGTCAGACTTTATCTGTGCCTGAAGAGGAAGAGGAGGAGGAACAAGAGGAAGATGAAAGTGTCCCAGATATGACTGGCTTTGTTTTGGAGGACATGAAACTGTATGTACATATAGTATCTACATACTCTCTGGAATTTAGACTCAAGTGAATCTGACAGAAATACTTTTATTGTTGTGTGACAGTGAAAAATGACTTAATGACACCAGATGTTTTGTGTAATTTAGGAGACACGACAGCATTATCACCAAACTCTATACAGGAATCCAGTGCTATTCCTGTGGCATGCGTTTTACTGCATCTCAGACAGATGTGTATGCGGATCATTTGGACTGGCACTACAGGCAGAATCGTTCAGAGAAGGACATCAGTAAGAAAGTTACACACCGTCGGTGGTACTACAGTCTGACGGTAAGCTGGAAACAATCTTGTCATTTCTTTTTTTAATTTAATTTTGTATATTGTCAGAAAATTGTCACTGAGAACGTAAATGACCTCTTGAAAATGGAGGTAAAAAACATGTTCTCTTTTTTTTTTTTAGGATTGGATTGAATTTGAGGAAATCGCTGATCTTGAGGAGAGGGCAAAGAGTCAGTTCTTTGAAAAAGTTCATGAAGAGGTTGTACAGAAAACTCAGGAAGCAGCCAAAGAGAGAGAGTTCCAGAGCGTAAAGGCTGCAGCAGATGTCGTTCACGAGGTTAGACGATGTACACAGACTTTGTGATAATTCATAGTATTAGAAAAATTGTGCGAAATTAAAGATTTCTTTATTTCTCTCTCCTCAGCTGTGTGAGATTTGCCAGGAGCAGTTTGAGATGTACTGGGAGGAGGAAGAGGAAGAGTGGCATCTGAAGAATGCCATCAGAGTCGATGAAAAGGTAAGAAATCCACTAATTAAAAGAGCAGATCAAATGTTGTGGCTTTGGTGTTTGATAAAACGCTTAAATTGTTATCCCTTCTCTTTTAGACATATCATCCCTCATGTTACGAAGACTACAAAAATGTAAGTGTTGATTTGGATAATGGCATCTTATCATGCATCACATATTGAAGTCACATGGCTGAAACTGCTGTATTTATAAGTAATCTGCTTTTGTGTAAAGACTTGTGTGAAGAAAAAACTTTCCATCTTAATTTTCCTTTAGTCAATTTAAATGCTTCCCCTTTTTCTGTAGACATCCTCCTTTGTGGACTGCACACCCTCACCCAATAAAATGCTTACAGAAAACCCTTTAACAGCTTTCATAAAACAAGAGCAGGGTGATGAGGGGTCATGCTCCAGTATTAAAGAAGAGCCCTCTGAGGACAATACAGATGCACCAACGGTAAAAGAGGAGGTTCAGGTTAAGTTAGAAGGAGAATCACAAACCAGTGCAATTATTTTTTAACTATGCTGCTCCTTAGCCACCTCTTTTTGTGGTTACTTAAGCTGGTCTTTTGTGTTTTGTAAAGAAGGATATTTTTATATTGCAGAGCTCTGGGGCCGGGACCTCAGCTAGTCACTTTAAATACATTTTTGTATTTGCCTGCACATTTCAGGTATTTTTTTGCCATGTGAATGCCCAATGAAATGTACTGTGAAAGATGTACGTTTGGGGTAAATGTATATGTATAATTTAATTTATAAATAAAGATATTTTTGGTATTCTTTGTGTAGTATTGATAAAAAAAAGATTTTGAATTTGTTGTTTTTTTGTTCTCAATGAGACATTTGTTCTGACTTTTGGTGAATGGTGGTTGAATACTAATTTATGAATGACTTTTTGTTTTGCCTACACAAAAAAGGGAAAACCCTTTTCAGTCATTGATAATTCCCTAAATCCAGGATTGGGGCTGATTGTAAATTATTAATAATTAATGGAACATAATTTACTATGAGAATTTCCCTGACCTCAATATGTAAATAGTTATTTCAGTTTACTACTGTATTTGATTCGGAGTAATGTTTAGTTGAAAATGAAAAAAAAATTAAAAGGGGTTGGGTTTTTTTCTCTTTTTGCAGAGGTTCAAAGAGCAATTTTGGTTTATTCAGAATATTCAATAAAAAAAATTTGAGGAAGAAATAGTGTCTTGTGTGTAAAGTGATTATTATGTGTGCTTTTTGGTTGATTTACAGTTGTCAGTTTTGTGCATAATCCTAAATAAAGTTTCAGTGCTAATGGAACCTTCTCTGTTCATTTATTTGATTATGATTTTTATAACCCATGTCTGTTTAAATGTCTCTCAAAATTAGTTACAACCACATTTTTAGTTCATCTGCATTTTAATATTTGTAAAACAACATGTAATACATAAAATTGTATTAGAATTAAGCATAGTTTCCACAGTATAAAACCGTTAAATGTCTTAATTTCCTTTTTTAGAAGAAGAAAATAAAACCTTGGTCAACCAACATGCTAAACAGCTGTTAATACTCCTACTTGGCTTCTCTTCAAAGATATCCTACAGTGATATGAATGAAGCTCTAAAATCCAGAACCAGTGTGACAGGATTAGGCTGGTGGTCATGGACCCTCAAGATGGACATTGTTGATTCATATGTATTAGGTGTGTTGTGGCTAAAACCTGATTTATGTTTGTGCTACCTTGTAACCCATGGAAAAAATGTTTATCCTAATAGTGTTAAAATTTCATCACATGCGTAGCTCTGTGGTTCAATATATTAAGTGAAATGACTGCAATATATCAGAAAAAGCTTTTGGATAAGGTCGAATAACCACTATACAAAATAGGACAGAAAAGTGACATTGTCTGAATTCTTTATATATATATATATAGAGAGAGAGAGAGAGATAATATTTGTCATGCATACAAACATGCTCACAAAATCTTTTAACACTTCAAAAACATTTTCATTGAAAGGTTTTTTTTTTTTGCACTTGCATGAAAGGGAATAATGTTGGCAGATATCTTTTAAAAACTGAAAATGTTGATGTAAAAAAAAAAAAGGCCCATGATGACCTCTGATTTAGCCCACCGTATCGTATAACAACTCCAACAAAAAAAGGAAAATGCCATTAAAGAATATTTTCAATTTTAATTTCTATTTTTGTTTTACTTTATTGCATTTAAATGTAGAGAATATAGGCATTTTTTAAAATTTTAATATATTTGGACATAATGCAACATTTACTTTTCGACCCACGGACCTCAAACAAGTTAGATTTTTGGCCCTTCGTAGTTAAAGGGGTCATATGATGCGATTTCAATTTTTCCTTTCTCTTTGGACTGTTACAAGCTCTTGTTGCATAAAGAAGATCTGTAAAGTTGCAAAGACTTAAGTCTCAAATCCAAAGAGATATTCTTTATAAAAGTTAAGTTAGCCACGCCTACGTAAAACGGCTCATTCTAACATGTCCCCACATACCTACGTCACTGTGTGGGAAGATTTGCATAACACCGCCCAAATGTTCACGCAAAGAAAGAAGGCATAACTTTTGCTGAGGAAATACAACTTTGCGCTGTGGATCGCCGGATTGCCTTTCACCGTGGATGAAGCGGAGTCCAGCCCGGGGTCGTCACATGTGGTTGCCGCAAGCCTCCTTCGTCGAATCCGCCGGCCGTGCCGTTTTCAAGCTTTGTAAAAATCGATGCGTTTCAGAAAGGCGGGGCATAAAGGAGAAACAATAATGTACAGTATGTGGAAAATAATGTGGTTTCTTTTACCTTAAACTGCATAAAACGCATTTCATTACACCAAATACACAAAATAATACAAGGATTCAAACCATTTATTGTCAAATAATGTTCTTTTTAGCAACATCATATGACCCCTTTAAACATTTAGGCCCCTCAGATCTAAAGAAACTTAACACATTTGCTCACATAAAAAAACATAATATTGAAATGTAACAATATAATAAAATATATATACATCTGTATCATTAAAACAAAAGGCAGAACTTTAAAGATAAAAACTCCAGACATTAATTCTCTCCTGTTGTGTGGGATTCATTTCCAGAAGCGATAGAATCCCAAAGCAATTGCCAAGCAGGTGAAGACGCATGCTGTGAAACAAAATATATATATATTAAAAAAAAAAAAAAAAAAAAAAAAAAAACACTGATTCAATTTAACGTTGTTAGTGCCCATAAAACGAAATTGCATCAACAAACAGAAGAGCCACTAACAAAGCACTTGATTAATTCATTTAGTCTGTTATCAAATTCAGTGTCTTATCTGAAGGACTTACAAACAAGTCACTGCTAAGTCAAATATGTGTAGAGGTACAGTAGCTGTCATCTGTCTGAAAAGCATCTTGAGTACATACCTGCAAGATATCTAATCGTCTCTAGCTTGACTGATTCCAGGAGGGTTTTCAAAGAGGCAACTTCTATGTCTATTTTCTTTGAGGTTTCTATGGCTTCACTTTCTATATCTGCATTCTGAAAAAAGAACTTGACTGTAATAATGTTATATTTTTTATATGAATTATGATAATAAAAGCATTATGTAATTACACTGAATAGAAAATCTTACTTGTAATCATAGTTCAAATGATTGTGTTGCTGTGATCACAACTATTTGTAAACCTTACCATTTTTTGGAACTCTGTTCTAACTTCCATAAGTTTCTTCTCTTGTTCTGTAAACTGGAATAAATAAAATATATATTGGATTGGTTGAATGTTAAAGAAAAATTATATAATACAAACTTACACAAAATGGTAACAAGTAATGTACTCATACCATATCTGTAACTCTACTTCGCTCCAAATTAATGTCTAACTTTGCATCTGCTCTGATTTTTTGGCTTTCTTCCTTCAATGTAAACATAAAAAGATAAATAAAGCATATGTTAAACAGAAACAATGGTAATGTGCAAAATAATTTTTCAAATTCACACAAACTTCTTCTATCTACTTATACTCACCAGTAGTCTGTTCTTTATGTGCTCCAGCTCTGCTTTCATTTTCTGCATGTAAAATAATTGAGAAGGTAAAGAACTGAATAACACCGTCTATGACACATTTTAATGCGTTACGTTAGTATTAATACTTTGTGGACAAACATGTTTTTACTTTATATGGTGTGTTCTGATTGTAGAGCCAAAAACAAAGGATGAAATGCAGGTTAAAACTTTACTCTTACTGCATTTTCAGAGCGTAAACTGGCAAATTCACTCTTCTCCAAGATAACCATGTCTTTCCTGATAGCATCTAGATGAGCCATGATTTGTTGTAGAGCTATTTCCTAGACCAGACGAAGAAACCATATCATTCAATAGGGTTCATTATTAGTCATTTCTACTGACAGCAGTTTTGTTGGCTGTAAACCTGATGGGCTCCAGTGACCATGTCTCTGTATACGATGTCCATATTGGCTGTAGTAAGAGTCACCAGTGCTGTGACAATCACTTCTGCCTGCCTCTTTTCAAAGCCTGGATTACATATGCAGAAAAAACTGCTTAATTTTTTGGCAAGATCTAAACAAGCATTACATAATTAATGCATTTAATCAATGTAAAATATCTATATTAAGCTTCCATTTGTGTCTCTAAATCTTAAATATAAGACAAATTTAAAAATACAACAAATAGTAAAATTGTCATTCGTTTTAACCAATAAATATTAAAATGGCTTGCCATACTGATTAGAAACCTATATACAAAGTATTTTGGCAAGTACTTCTTAAGCATACCGCTGGTTTCCAGCTCTTTCACGAGCGCATGAGAGTCAAACGTGAGTTTCCTCTGCTCCAGAGGCGTCAACTCCACTTTTCTCACATCATATGTCTTAACAGCAGTCGTTTTACGGAAACCTAAAAGGAAAAATACGTCTTTAAACCCTTGAAATGTGCGACTTAGTGCGCTGTATCGTCGAACAACACTTACCTCTCTGGAGACACATTGGTTGGATGTTGAGTTGATGCCATTTTAACAGCGAGGAGAACTGGTATTGTCTCCGTATAAACATTCCCCAGCATGACATTGTTATATATAAAGTTATATGGCTAAACTAAATAAATATATGATTATTTATGTGGGATGTAATTGTTATGCGCATCTAACCTATACTTTTTGTAAACTGCTCAACAACAGCCAAGACGAACTCTAGTGTCTGCCCTTCCTCTGTCTGTCTTTCCAGGGCAAAACGACACACCTTTCAGGGTCAAATCGATTAGCACTGCCTTAAAAACTCTCCTAATCTGTTCGTTTACTATATGTGGTTTCCTATTTTGGTAGACTTTAGGTGACGTTTCGATAGATTGTGAAGAAGGTGGAGTTTTTCTTTTCTTTTTGATGGTAGAAATAGAATAAGCAACTAGAAAGGCAGTTAGCATGAAACAAGTGAGGCTTAGTAGCCCGGATGTTGTCTCAAATTTGTCATGCACGATGGTTTTGAAGAATATTTTTCAACTTTTAACTATTCACTATGTATTTTAAATAAACGCATTTTTTTTTATTAAAGTCTATTATGGCGATAATTTACGTATAAATGAATTATTATCCATTCCAGAGCGCTACTGAAGTAAAAGGACGATATGATGTGATATACGTTACTTACTTCAGCGCTGTTGTATGATTGACCAATCACAGTCGTTTGCGATCCCTTTGCGGCGTTCTTATTTTATTTTAGCAACCAACTTTTACATTTTCAAATTAAAACAATTATGCATTTTAGAGAACAAATAGGCTATCTCAGGCGACATACAACACAACGTCCTGATATATACATTTGACTCTAAGGAGCTTTCGACCCAGTGTTGCCAACTAATTTTCAGGGGAAGTTGCTAAAGGAAGATGGATTTGTTGCTAAACGACGCGATGTCATTGCGCGGTGACGTCATTGCGTAATCACGATGTAAAATTGTGTCACTGCATCAAATCTCAGCCAAATCTTTTTTTTTTTTTAAATATGTTAATTTAGATGTGTTTATAAAATAATATAAGTGCATAATAGAACATTAAAATATAAATAACTAATTTTAAATACAACATTGAATTATTTAACACTTTCACATTTTGTAACAATTACAATTTAAGTTTATTTTTATTAGCTAGTAAACTAGTAAAACTACTCATTCTGAACGATTCTAGATGTAAGCAGTGTATTAGTAGTTCGTATGCTACACTCTAAGAAAAGTCTGTAAAAATAGGGCAAAATCTATATGAAGGAATTTTCCGTAATTATTATTCACACGTTTTTTACCTACATTTTAAACTACGCATTGTATTTTGTGTTTTCGGGTTACAATGGATAACGGATAATGTCCTGGAAAATTACTACCTTTTTCATTTTTCTAGATATTTTTCTTACCGTGCACTAACTGATCAACAAACTCAAGTACAAGCTACTAACAAGGTGTATCATAAATGAACAATAATTCAGTTATTATTATTATTATTAAATTAAACAATTGCTAATAGCAGCCAACTTAATTCATGTGAATTGTGTACTGCTAGGCACCTTTGGTTTCCTCTTTTTGTGTAATTTAGATGGAAAATGTGTGCCTTTTTTATCGTTTGAGTCACTTATGAAAAGTTGCTAAATGTTGCCAAATCAATTTTAAAAAATAGCTACATTTGCTGCTAGGTGCTTTTGGAAGAAAAAGTTGCTAGGGTAGTGTGAAAAGTTGCTAAATCTAGCAACAAAATCGCTAAATTGGCAACACTGTCGACCTTCTGAGCCGCCACGCGCCCCCTGCAGGAGAACAAGTTTATGTCAGCAACATTGCGCCACCAAAGGTTGTAATTCGGCTTTTAGAAATAAAGTTTTCTTTTCATTTGGAAACTGTCATGGCTGCGCTCATGACTAACGATCAGAGCTGTTTTTTTGCTCTGGCTCTCGGAGTTTCATTTCTCAAATGTCTTTTGATAAATGCCTAGTAAGTGAATTTGACTCACATAATATACTTTTTCTCTCATGTGATCACATTAAAACGGAAAACCCATGGCTATGTTAGAAGAGCGACCAAATACTCGAGACTCATTCATTCCAGACTCTTCCTTTTACGAAGAGGAATTGATTGTTTTGCATCACCTAATGCCAAGCAATTTAATATTTATTGTATTTCAGCCATTCTAGCGACTTTGAGGTGCATAGGAACTGGCTTGCCCTGACTCACAGTCTGCCAGTACCACAGTGGTATTATGAGGTAGTCATATGGATTACAACAGTTTACAAACTATTACATACACAGGATTTAATTTTGTGGTTTCTTTTTTATATTTTCAGGCTACGTCTGAGTGGACACTGGATTATCCTCCCCTGTTTGCTTGGTTTGAATATGGACTTTCTCATATTGCCTGGTTTTTTGATAAGGAGATGCTGGTTGTTCAGAACCTGAATTATGCAAGTCCAGCCACAATCCTGTTCCAAAGACTGTCCGTCATTGTGGCTGATGTGGTCTTCTTTTATGCGGTTAAAGAGTATGTAGCTTTTAAATGCCACGATTTGATCCAAAGTAGTTTTTGTGCCTTTGTCTTTTTAGGTTTGAAAGATACTTGAAAGACAATGTTA